CACTTCGTTGTCTCGAGACATCCTGTGCCTGTCGCTTTCGGAAGGTGTTCACCTTCTGACAGATGGCATGCCAATCGGGGATACTGATGGTGTCGCAGCGGGTCGAGTTATCTTGCGGACGAAAGTCGGTTTCCACACCCATCTGCATTTCGATGTGCTCCAGTAGTTGTCGAAGAAGACTTTGCAGTAGAATCCGTGTGTTCGTTCGATAGCGATGTGCCACCCGGGGGGCTTGTTCTCGTTGTCGTCGTCGCGGTCATAGAGTCTTCGACGCTCTGTGTTGTTGTATGGGATATCTCGAAGATTCCCGCGTACTCCCAACTTGGCCGGGGAGAGATCGGAGTGCTCGGCGTACCACACGAAGTCTTCGTTGGCCCCGGTCGCGCACTGGTAGCAACATCTGTAGTGGACGTTGCGCCAGTCGTCTTCACCGTCGGGGTTGATCGAGAGCAAGTAGTAGGGCGGGAAGAGGAGACCACAAAAGGTGCAATCCAGTGAGCCATCGTGGATCTTGTCGTTGGCTGGGGTGCTGAAGTATTTGATGTACATCTCCACCCTAACGACGTCCTTTCGATGATGTTCCTCCACCGACAGTCCATCGCGTCCGATGAGTTCGATGGGCATCCCGCTGTCGTCGACTTCTTCGCCGGTCAATTGTCGGCGCCGAATCATCGCCAGCTCGGCGTCTGAGGAATTTGGGAATTGTTGGCGTAGGGATGACATCGCGAACAATTCGGAGGCCCGCTTAAATGCAATAATCTCGAGGGCTCCCTGTGTGTTGTGGTCATCGTAGAGCCTTCGTTGCAGCTTGAGAGCTCGGCCCGCATCCGTGCCAGGGTCGACACCTTCGAGGAATCGCGCAGCCGGCAGAACTGCCCCAGAGCTACTCCCTGGTGTCTGGGAGAACTGCTCGATGGGATCGGGGACTGTGCTCGAGGACTCAGGGAACTGTTCAATGGAGTCCGAGTCCATCGGCGTCTGACAGTGGCTTGCCATCGCGTCGGGGGATCGGGATGATCGGGGATACTAAGCAGGCTTGAGAGGTCGGAGTCTACAGAAGCCAAGCAATCTCCAAGGAGAGAGCAGGCCCCACTACAACTAGTAGAGCCTTGTGCATAACCGCAGCTGTGATCCTACTGGGCAATGCCACTGCTTTCTTTGTGATCGTGTGGAGCGAATTCGAGGTAGGTAATCGTAGTCCGAGGGGACACATCGCCGAGGCGGAAGTCACCCTCTCACCGGACTGTCCAAGTGACACCAGAAACTCCCGTGCATCGCCGAGGCGGAAACGGGGTAACCGTGTAAAACTCCGGTCTCGAGCTCACCTAAGTGAAGGCTCGCGCGTCCTCCCTAAATCGGAGAACAAAGACCGGTGGCTCCTCTGCGATGATGTTTCGCATTCGCTCGTGTTGAGCAAATGAACTCCGCATTGCCGGGGAGAGCATGTTCGAGGTACATGCGAGTATCGCCGATGCCTGTTCGCGGAAGAAGGTAGTCATTGGTTCGAAGTAAGGCATCTGCCCTGCGAACTCGGTGAGGTTGCGGGCTGTGTGACACCAGATTCGGAGTCGACTCATGCGATCCTCCACCGATGTATGGCTTAGATCGGCCAGGGACGCCGTCATACTATGCCACACCATGGAGTAAATGAGTGTAGATCGGGGCTCCACGAAGTTATTCGGGACTCCCAGCAACAGAACCCTCTCCTGGAGGGAGTCGTCCTGCGGTGTATGGATCGGGAGATCGATGAACAGTCCGAACTGTGTCAAGTAGCTGCCGAAGGTAGGGCATCGAAGGACTTGTTCGATGTAGAGGATGCCATCGTATGTGATTTCCCAGGGTGAGTCGAAGGCAAAGGAGGAGTACGGATGATTCCCAGGTGGTAACATCGCGACATTGTGTCCACCCACCGGCATCATCACCTGCAGGTTCGGGGACAACATCGGGAAGTTGTCGAAATGTCGGAGTGTCTGGAAACCGAACACGGGTGCGAGTGTGTTCGGATTGTTGGCGCGGATCTCGTCCAGCGACGTCCTGCCCTTCTCCACGACCTGTGAGTCGAGCCACTGCACTCGGAATCGTTCGAGACGAGACTGTCGTGGTGGTTGTGGTTGAATCGCGACCGGGACACTTGTGTAGGGGCTTCGAAGTGTAGTCGAGAGTGTCGATGAGGAGGCGGCCTCGGCCTGTGTCGCTGCCGTCTGGACAAACTGTCTCGGGTCTGTCCGGGATAGGTCGACTGCGGGATGCACCGAGAATCCTGGCGTCCCAGCCTGTCCAGCTCTCGTCAAGTCGACGACATCGGGTCGCTTAGGCATGGCCTTCGTCTTGGCTCCCACGATGGCGGTAGTGGGTGGAGCATCAAAAGACGGGTTGATCCACCGAAGGGTTCATCGCCTGAGTCGCGGGAGGTGCAGTCGATTGGCTCCCCGGGGTGTTCGTAGTCGCCGTAGTCAGAGGCATCGCGATGTCCTGGGTTTCGTCATCATCGTGCCAGAGATCCGGGGACTGAGGTCGCGGCTTCTGTGTAGGATGTGTTTTGGCCGGTGTTGAGGCAGTGATCTCATCCTGCACCTCGACGATCACCGGAGTAGAATCGAGCCATCTCTTGGCCGGAGAAGCCGATCTTCGAGGAAACCTCGCCGGAGACAACGGCCGTTGTGACCCCGTCGCTGCTCCATCGCCGGGGCGGAAGGCAGGTCGGGGGCTGCGTCCGAAGCTCGGGGCATCGGAGTCTGTGTCGGTGCCCAGCTGGAAGAATGGTCGCCGTGGTGTCGGAGGTGTCGGTGCTGTCGAAGGAGCAATCGGTGGCGCAACACTCGAGGGTGCCGCTGAAGGTGCCGCGGCCGGAGGAAATCGAGGTTCCTCCTTTGAGGTCGGGAAAACAGTTCCACGTCGGGGAGTTGCCGGCTGTCCCCAAGTCGCTGGGGGTCTGGAATCTTCTCGAGGTCGGCGCGGAGAGCGTCCACGGGGATGTCCTTCGACCAGGTCCTGTCGCAGTCGGACCGCAGCCTCCGATCTGTCCCAGGATTCGAAGTCGTAGTATTTGGAGAAGTTGGTACCGAAGTTGAATTTGCGCATCTCGGTGTGGCGGAATGTAGCCATCGACTCCATAATCCACTCTCGTGCTTGATCGCGACTCACCTGTTCGAGGTAGCCGCCTCGGGATGAGTAATGAAATGGGGGTTCATCTCCTCGTAGTCTTCGTTGTAATGCGAAGGCTTTGCGCATCGCCGCGTCGAAGGTGTGCCCATGTTGATTCCAACAGTGATCATTGAAAGTACAACATCCCTGGAACCATTTGTGGCAGATTAGGTTGGGCACTACCCACACCTTGTTCAGGAAATCGGGGTGAAGGTGTACGCAGTTTATCATGTTGCAACTCTTAGACTCGAGTATTCGTGGACAGATTTGTTGTCGTAGCCTTGAAACAGGTACTCGAGCAGTATCGCGGACTGTCTGGGGAAACTCATGCAGCATCGTGTCCGGCACCTGTGCATTGATGGTCAGAATCGAACCTTCGCAGAGAAAGTCGAACCAAGAGTCAGCTCGTTGTTGTGCCATGGCTACCGGGAAACTAATCCAAATCGATGACAGTCGAGGTAGCAGGCTTAAGCTGCCCTTCGAAGTTGCGCTTTCGAGCTGGAGAGGCAGCGGGTTCGGGTGTGTGTAGTTCAATTCCGAAATCATCACGAAAAATGTCTGCCAAATGCTGATTATGCAGTTCGGTCTCATGCACTAGAAGAGAAGCATCGGTGTCCGCGGGAAGAGGTAAATCGTCGGCGTCAGGATATAGGGAACCCTGGACGACCTCGAAGGGAACCGTCAGCGGCTCCTCGGTGTCGTCGCGGTTGGTGATGTGCAAATACAGGAAGGCCTCGAGATTAGGCGGCTTCAGCAAAATCGCCGCCAAGTTGACGATGTCGTCACCAGTTCGACACTGGGCGATCTGATCGATGGCCCTTCGTATTTGTCGTGATTGTCTCTTGTTCCAGGCACCCCAAGTCACTTCCTCGGGTTTCTCGATCTGAAAGTCTTCGAGAACTTGTTCACGGCTAAATTCTTCGAGCGATTCCTTCAGACTGTCGATAACCGACAGAGAAGCCGTAGTGCTCGAAGTACTGGCCGCCAGCAGCGGTCGTAGTAGAACTCGAAGAACTGGCCGCGAAAGCGGCTATGGCCGAGGAGTGATCCGAGGGCACTGAAACAAAGTTCTCTCAAGCTGTAACAGCTTGAGCCAAAATGGCTTGAGCCAAAATGGCTACGTTACGGAAATTGCCATTTATGCCCTAATCATCGAATGCGAAACCCTGAAACTTAACCCCTATAGACTAAACCCTAAACCCTAAACCCCAAGCCCCAAGCCGCAAGCCCTAAACCCTAAGCCCCAAGCCCCAAGCCGCAAGCCCCAAGCCCTAAACCCTAAACCCTAAACCCCAAGCCCCAAGCCCTAAACTCTAAACCCCAAGCCCTAAACCCTAAACCCTAATTCTTGCCTGTTCGCTTCTACGGCGGTGATCCTCAGGATTTATCAGAAGCAAAGGCCCCTGTCACCACTCAAGTAGGCAACTGCCTGCATCCTCACCCACTCTCCCGGCACTGGCTAGCGACTGTCGTGGTCGCAGCCGCTAATTTAAGTGTTCCAAAACCAGCAGAGGAATCAGAACTGCAAGCCACAGTGCGCACCACGTACCCAAGCGCAAAGTGTGCCAGTAGCACAAGTCACTAAGCAAACACGGGTCCATAGCACGCCACGGCCTGCACATCTTGGCGTGCGTCGTAAGTAGCAGGCGCCAAGGTACCCACATCTGTGCCATCAGCTTGCAGCCTGGAAGGCACAGTTGGACGTGTGATGCCAGCAAAACCTGTACAAAGAAAAACAAATTCTGAAGTGGTGCCTGAATGCCACAGCAAACTTGTGCACGTCATGCCAGATGCGAATGCGAGGCAGAAAGTTCACCCAAACAGGCATCCACTGCATTAACTGTCGGCTGCAGTCATCACATGGGCGAGTTGCAAGGCACCAAGCTCAGCAGCGATGAAGAGCCGTAAAGGCGTCTAACGCCGCGCGATGGCCAATCTGACGGGTTCTCAGCAGATGGGACCAGCACCAGGTAGACTTGCAACTCTCCTGCCAACTCCAGCGCGGCTGCCTTTCGCAAAAGCCTGTTGAGCTGGGTGGAAGACCTACCCTTAGCCACTGCTCCCAGCCACACTGCGCTGTCCACTAAAACAACAAGCCTGGAGCAATGCCGACGCCTGGACCGAAGCACCCAGCGCAACCAAATGAGGAATGCTTCACCTTCATGCACATTGATGTGAGCACCTCTGCGAGCTTTGATGCTGAAGATGTCCACGAAATCGCCCAAACTGATGTCCAGATGGTGTGCCTCGCCGAGGCGTTTGGCTTGCTTCTCAGCCACTCGAGCAAGACGACGAACCATCTGGATAGGTAGCTGAGCCACGCTCGCTCCGAAACCATGCGTTGTGCTTGCATCAGTAGCTGACAGCAAGGCAAGAATGGTTGTTGAACAGACGCCAGAAAATTCCCTGCAACATGCCCACGGCCAGCTCGAACATCACAGCCTTGGGGAGTAGTTGCACGCAGGCGTCTTGATGGTCTCTCACAAAGGCGTAAACCTGGTCATGCACGGACAACTTGCAGCGTTGCAAAAGGTCGAACCATTGCTGGACACCCAACTGTTGGTGCACCTGCTTTGGCGATGCCTTCTGGGATTCGAGAAGATACAGTACACTAGCAATCATAGACAAGCATCGAGCTGGAGGAACTCCTAGGTGTGTGCCATCTTCGAGTGACACACCAACGCAAGTTGCGCTGAGCTCATCGTCCACGTCTTTGGCTGTAGGGCTTAGGGACTTTTAAGACTATGTGCATGACTGCTGACTTGAGCGACAGGGCAGGAACCGGAGTGCTGCCAGTTGACAGATTTACAGCTTCCCCTGCCTGCGATTTCGATGCGTTGCGAGCACAGTCAGTCTGACTCATCCGAAAACGCTCAGCAAGAATAAGGGGTGAAACCGTCAGAGGTGAAGCTTTGGAGATGCAGGCCCTGAACCCAAGGACAGAAATCCGACGTCAGAAGCCAGGCGGCTACACCCTCAACTCCATACCCTCAGCTCTACACCCTAAACTGATCCCAGGGTTTGAACACTGAAAAGACCTACGCTTTAAGGGTTCGTGCTTGTAGCTTTCTTCTAACAGTCCTTGAAAAGAAAGTCTTTTCGAGCATCGGTGAAGTTTATGGTTCAGGATGTCGGCTTCTTTGGGGGCACCTTTGTTTCCACCTAGCAGTTAACGTCGGCAGGATGTCGGGTTTAGGGTGTAGGGTTTGGCATTCAGGATTAGGGGTTTATGGTGAGGGCTTAGGGCTTTTGGATTTCAGTGTCGGTTCGGATGGCACCTCCACTGCAGTGTAGAGGCCTTGGACGCTCAAGAGCTTGTCCTTCTTGGTTTGGGGTTAGGGTTTGGGCTTAGGGCTTAGGCTTTAAGTCAGGGTTAAGAATCTAAGTCTATAGGGAATGCCCCGAGAACTTAGGTTTTAGGGATTGGGGTGTAGGGTTTGGGGCTCAACCCCTAACCCTGAACTTGGGCTCGCATAGCAAAGTCAAGCCTAACCCAACAGCTTAAGTTCGAAGATGATGGGCTACTGCCCCCATACAGAGCAAGCTACGGTTTCAAAAAAATCCTCGAACTTGCCCGCATAAGGTGCTAACCCTGGAGCACTTCCGGCACGATCTTAAAGCAAGTCGACTCAGTAACCACTGAACAATGATGCCAATCTCTGGCCAAAAACGATGCTCAACAACCGGTGTTCCGTCAGTCCTCCGTGCGTTGATCTTTGTGAAGCCAGGGTTCGGGTGCCTTCTTGGGAATGCTCTCCTTGGCAATCGTTGCATCTTTCTGGTGGTTGTGAAAAGGTTTTAAAACTTTAGTGTTTGGGGTATAGTCCTTAGGGTTTAGTTTAGGAGTGGCGTTTGAAAACTCGAGGGGATATTGCACTGGGCTTCAACTGAGCACCGGGCTGTCTGGGTACCTGAACCGAATCTCTGATGTGTTTTGGTCAATGGCTTTTCGAAATTACAGCTGAGCTCTACGACCTCATACGCAAAGCTAAACCCTGGAGCCTCCAACCTCGCAACCCCAAACACCAAACCTATCACCAACACTGCACACACACACACGTAAATACACACTAAACCCTAAACTGGATCCTATGGACGCAAACCCTAACCCCCAAATGGATGACCCCACATCCCATCCTAACGCCCAAACCTCATCTCTAGTTCCCACGCCTCTAAAATCCTCTGAACCCTGAGTCATGAACTCCTACATGGGAGTTTCCGAAAATTTGTGGCTCCTTGTTTGGGGGGCCCTTCTAATAAGGATCCTACTATTTGGGGTACTATATTAGGGTCCCCTATTTTCGGAACATCTGAAAATGAAAACACCATAGCTCCAAGCCTAGAGACGCTAAGGATGAAGGCATCCATGGAAGCCACCTTGGTGGGCTTAATATAGGGGTCTTGATAATCAGAATAGGGTTTTATGATACTATAGCTGAAATAAGGAACACCTTCAAATAGCAGATTTAGTTATTTAAGCCCCTGCATTACGCATTGTTCCTTATGTTGTTATTATGATTGTGATGGTGATTAACTAATCCCCATCACAGACACAACTTGTTAGTAGGGTTTAAGCCTTAAGGGTTAAACCCTACCCGAAACCAGTATGACAATGATTCTATGTTCATGGTTTGGACTACTAAGAGTTGTCTCAAAGGAGGGCCTGGCTTTAGGGTTCACGGTGTGACGAACCCTAAACCCTAAACCCCTAAACCCTGAACCCTAGTGTAGATTTTGACTCGAGGGTTCGAGTTCCAGTGGCTTCAATGCTTCAAGCAGGGTTTAGGGTTTAGGGTTTTTGTTTTAGGGTTTAGGGTTTTAGGGGTTTAGGGTTTAGGGGTAGGTATATCAGGTATATCTACCCTAAGGCTCCATAGTAGTTCCTTTTTGGGGTTCATATATAGAATCCTATAAGGTAATCCCAAAAAGGAACTACGGAGCCCTAGGGTAAGCCCTAAAACCTAAAGCGACATCTCATCCCAAAGCCCGAAGACGCGAGCCCTAAAGCCTAAACTCGAAACCCTAAACTAAATGTTTGCCATGTTTGCGATATATCCCGAAGCCCTAGGGTTTAGGGTTTTCTAGTTTAAGGTTTTGGGGCTCACGACGGAGGCGAGGTGTTCTTTGAGGCAGCTCTCTGGCCTTGTCTATGGGGTTTAGACGGTTTGGTGGGGCTCTTCAGTCTAGGATTTAGAGGTTCAGGGTTCAGGGTTTGGGGGGGGAAGGGTTTGGGGTTTCAGGGTTCAGGGGTTTAGGGTTCAGGTACTAGATTCATTTCAAGTGATACGCTTTTAAATCTAATTCCGTATGATTTACTGACGGCCAACTTGTCGCTATTCACCCTGTCAAAGCAGTCGGTTTGATTGTAGGGCTGTTTGGGGGCTTTTACTCGTGCAGTTTCAATGGGGAACTTAGGTTCAACGTTTTGGATTATATAGGAATTATAGTCACTTATAGTACCGCAACAAAAAGGCAAGAGGTTTGCACTCTACAACTATAAGGTTCATAAAGGTGGCCTTTTCTTGTGTGTACAAAAGTCTTTAGAACTGAAAATGTTCACCCCTACTTCGAAGTACCTGTCTTGGGAAGTCTGGTTCGGCATGTTGGTTTTCGGGCTCAGGACTCATGGCTAAGAGTATTTGGAACCCCAAAACCCCGCAGCTAACTTGAAACGATTTGCAGGCAGAGTAACAAGCTCCGATGCGTCGACCTGCACAGAGACCACGGACGGCATACTCGGAATTCCCTTCAACAAGCCTTAAACTTTGAACCCTAAACCCCAAATCCCATAAACCTTCACACGGCCTTTCTATGGAAGCTGTTCGCGCATCGGTTTTAATGCTGCGCCGCAAGCTTCCCCTATACCTGAAAGTCTTGGTCATTTTATAAGAACCTACAAAACAAGTCGGCCGTGGTAGGTGATTAAGGTATGTAGAGGGCGCGTTTCCTCAAGGGTTTATAGACTTTTATATCTAGATGGTGGGGTACTGGGTTATGGGCACTAGTAATACAGCAGCCCGCGAACAAGGCAGCGGAGCATCTGGGGCCAAGAAATTGCTGATTGGGGGTATCCGGGATCCCTGGTAGAATGTCAATCTTGGGGTTTATATATGTGGATAGGCTGAATAGAGTATGTCATTCTGAGGAGCCACCAAAAGATCCTGGTTTATACAACAAGTATAGAACTACCAACCCATGCACACGTTTAGAGCTTACCAAAGTTGGTACGGCTGTTTTGCCTCTGCAGCGAAAGATCAGGAATCAACGCTCCACGCCCTCAACCCTTGATTAGTTGGTCTTATCTGTAGCAGCTTGCTTTGGATACCTTATTGCTTATTCCTAGGAGCCTGACCAGAAAACCAGGCTAGGCTCGACAGCAACCATTCAGGAAACCCCGACCTACAAACCGCAGCTCCCTAAACCCTAAACTCCTGAACCATACTGTCAAGCCCTATGCCTGCCCGGACCCTCCTGCCCTTTTGAGGGCTCCTTAATATGATTTTCTTATAAGTATCTCAACAATGTAGGTTCTTTGGAATTAAGATGAACCGAACTACGACTACGGCTTGGGCCAGGATCCCCAAACCCTCGTAAAGCCCCAAACCCTCAACCCCAGAGGAACCCTTAAAGGAACCTCACAAGAACCCCCTAAAGAACCGTCAAGAAAGCTTCTCAGAACCCTCCCACCCCTAAACCCTAAACCCTAAGCCCTACAACCCTAAACCCCACAACCCTAAACCTCTAAATCCTACAACCCATAACCTCTAAACCCCCTTACCCCCTACTTTGAAGCCTGGAACAAGGCCGCGAAGGCTTCCTGGACCTTCGGGGCCAGGCGGACGGTCCAAGCAGCGTCACACTGGGACCTCAAGCGTTCCTACTCACACTCGGGCTCCTGTTTTAGGGTTTAGGGTTTAGGGTCCTAGGGAGGAATTGAAGGGTGTCCTAAGTACTTATATATATATATATATATATATACATATATGTCGGCTACCTGCCCAAACGATACAACTCCTAGTATAGAAACCCTGCTGTCTACCATGCTTGACAAGACTTAGGACCCTTTGGGGGAATCGAGTGTTTCGGGCTGAAGGTTTGGGGTTTGGGGTTGGGGGTGTAGGGCTATTGCGCTGATTTTTTGTCACCCACCTAGCACGGCAATGCCAGCTCCGCGGGGCTCTATAAGAGCAACGACCACTGAGGGCTATAGTTATAGCAGAGACCAAGCAGATATACTCAATCACAACAACCTCCCAGTCTTTCCAACTCTATCTCTCACCGTGTACCTGCAGCCCATAACCGAACAGTTTAAGGGTTAACGAGCCACAAGAATAGGCCTTTTAGGGCTGGAGATATGCCTAGACCCAAATTCAAAATAGCATGCTTAATCATTAGTCCGTGGGCGGGTAGACAACATACTCAGAAAGAACTTACGAAGGAATTCCCACCGCAAGCATAGAGTGCCCTTTAACCGCAACCCCAAACCTTATAAACCGTAGCCTAAACCCTAGAACCCTGGTAGGCTACACCCTAAACCTTGTAACCCTAAACCCTAAGCTGCGTGTAGAAGCTCTGACTTCCCAAATCTGGAACTTCTTGTCCGGGCTGGCTGAGTCGCCCGCAAGCCGTAGCCCACCTCTGGGGTTTGTTGCGATTCACAAAATTTCCTTAAACCCTAAACCCCTTATAAGGGCTCTTGAAGAATAACTCCTCTGAAGATGGTTCTATAAGGGTTTCTTGCTTGAGCAGTTTCTTTCGGGGTTTCAGGTTTAGGTCTTAAGCTTGAACATTTGGGTTTAAGATTTCATGTAGCCCAAGGTGAACGTGCAAAGTACTTTCCAACAAACGGCTTTAGAAGCCCTTCTGCTTCGGGTTCAGGGTGCAGGCGACACCGCAACACAGGAATACAGATCCTGTCACATCCCCCGAAACTCTTCATGCCCACGCGTAGTGGTAGTGCGGCAACTACCACGCAAGTATCGATCGATCTCAAAAAGGATATGTGGCCATACTTAAACGTCGGGCTTGCGACTTCGGGGCTGTAGCCTCGGTGGAACATGGATTTAGGATGAGGAATGCTGGGATTCCTTATAACTTACCTTATTACCTCATGGGCGTTTTAAGGGTTTAGGGGAACTTGCTGGCTTCTAAACCCTCGGGATAAGGGTAGCTGTTGCAAGAGCTGTGGCCGAACGGTTACAGCAGAGCAGTTATGCTATTCAAGTCAGCGGGCCGCAATGGCAACTGGCAGCTGAAGAGATCATCATGTTTGGCCAAATGGCCACCGGAAGCGCGAGCTCCGGGGGAGTCTTGAGTGTAGCCAATCAGATGCCGGTCTTTCCTTACGTTGAGGGTCCTCCAGGGATGTCTTTTCATTATCTTTGGCGAGTGTTCATGCTTACAGGCTGGTTGGTGTTGGATTTTCTGGGTGATAGGGTTGGATCCTGGGAATACCTTCGGGCGACGGCCAATGGTTTTCGAAGCAGCACTACCATGGCGGTAGCACTGTGGCTGCGCCGAACAAGTCAACGCTACCTTGAGCTATACACTGCCCCAACTGCGGCAGTTGCGGATGCTGCTAACGCGTACATTCAGTCCGGGGAAGTGCAGTTTCCCTATCGGGCACGAAATCCGGAGGAGTCAGACTTGGAAGATGATGAAGAGTTGGATGAGCGACCTAGAAGACCTCGGGTTGAGCCTGGTCCGGTTGGGATGAGGTTTGGTCTAGGTGGGCAGGGTTTGTTAGGTGAATCTTCTTCGGAATCTGATTCTGATGACTCTGGTGATTCAACCACTGAGCCGTCTGTATTCTCGGAGAGCCAGGGTAGCAGTGGGGATACACCTAGTGAAGTTCTGGTTCAGGGAAGAGAAGCTCGGCGGGAACGGGAGTCGAGTGTTGCTGAGGCTTGGGGCCCCAGGTACGAGGCTGTTGAAGAGGCGTTAGTTTGCAGCTACGTAGACGATGTAGTGACCGTTCCGTTAGTTGGCTGGAGCGCCGCAGAGATTGCCACTGTAGCACATGGGATGCAGTCTGGTGACTGGTCGGAGTTTCATCAGATGATGGCCGTTACTAGTGACCTTAACGAGGGGCCAGGGTCCAGTAGCGATCTGCCTTGGAGAGTGTCCTAGGAGACGGTTGTTGAGCGGAGTAGGAACCGTTGTGGAGTTTGGTAGGAAGGGGCTTTGGGTGCTATGGTTCTTCTGGTTCGCGATTCAGGGAGTCAGGGGCTAGGGGAATGAGGCTCAGCCGGTGTTCAGAAACTGCGGTGTACCAGGGAGCGAGGACAGATCGTAGAGCCCTCTCTGTACGGAAGCTTGAGTGCGCATTTGTCTTTGTTGAACTGAGAACCGGGAGTTTGCGTACCGTGCTATGGCTTAGGCCCAAAGCATCGTGGGCCTGTCTTGGTCCGCCGTTTGTTTAAAAAGCAACAGTCTTGAAGGGAGTCTGGAACATTCTTGAGGTTCTCCAGTTATATACTGGGCTTTTACAACGGGTATTGCTAAGCCTTGTCTGTAGGTTCCGAGAGAAGTTGTTCCGAATTCCTCTGTTAGTGTGTAGGTGGATGCGAGGAGTGCATTTGTCCAATGTCTCTGAAGGAGACAACTCGAGGTACAGGTTTCGAGTGTGCGGAATAGCGCTCCAGTGACGCTTTTGTCCACGACTGACTGGTGGGAGAATCAGCGGGTACAGGGAAAGATGTGCTCACAGGGTCGATGTTCCAAGGGCCCCATTCTCAATCGCTCGTTCCTTGGCGGAGCGAGCGAGGGTGAGTGCGTGTGAGTCATGTCTTGGAACAGTGCTGATTGCATACCGTGGATGCCAGGCTGTTTTTGCTTGAAAAAAATATCTGTCGGCGAGCCTGTCAATTGTGGTGGGTTCGGTTAAGGTGGCTTTATCCTTTCGGTAAGGGTGGTTAATCTCACTAGATCCTAAATACAAACCCTCTCCCCCCACCCTTCCTCCGCCTCGAATCCTGAGAGGCCAATGACCAAGCAAGTTGAAGTACCCAGAGACTCCAATATCCCTTAATCAAGGATCATACCTGAAATTATTGTATATAGGATCCCTAGTATGGTTTAAGGAATACGCCTCAATTCAGGGATATTGGAGCCTCTAAATAACCTTGCTCTGGGGGTTAGGGCTTGCAGTTAGGTTTGCTTTCCAATCTGTTAGGGTTTAGTGTTCAGGGTTTACCGAATACCTAGACTGTATGTATACAGTAGGTAGGTAGGTAGGTAGGTAGGTATGAATGTATTTGTGTCTGTACTTCGAAATATATATATATATATATATATACACACACTCTACACACACACAAGTATGAAGGGCTGAGCCTTGAGCACAAACGCCATAAACCCCGAGCCCTGAAGCAAAACCGAAATCCAGAACCGGAGACAACAAACAGCCGGTGCCTGAATCCCTTTGTAGCCATGAGGAACTTTCCAGGATTCGCGCTTGCCGCGGCGCCGAGAGGGAAGGATGGCCCTGGATCAGAAATCAAGACATTAATATAGGAGCCTTAATAATTAGAATAGGGCTTTGGGGGCCCGGTACACTATAATTATAAGAAGGAACCCTAAGAAATAATAATGGTAATTATTTAGGCCCCTATAGTAATCCCAAAACCCTACACCCTGACAGGCCAATGATATATGTATCAAAGATCGACACGAATGAGGGTGTTGATTGGTAGCCCATATTATTGAGGGATGATATTCTGAGTCTCCCCAACGACAACACCGCCACCAACAACAACAGCAACAGCAACACCAAAACCAACACCGAAAGAGGGTGTTGGTTTGTGGTGGCCCATAATCAATATATAAGGAGTTTCTTCTGAGTCTCCCCCCCAAAAACAGTAACAACAACGAGCAACACCAGCCACAGCCACAGCCACAGCCACAGCCACAGCAGCAACAACAACAACAACAACAAGGACAACGACAACGACCACAACAATAACGACGACAACGACAACGACGACGGCAACGACGACAACAACGACAACAACGACATCGACAACAACGACGATAACGACAACGACGACGACAACGACGACAACAACAACAACAACAACAGCAGCAACCCCCACATATACACTGGCTGCAGTCGAAAACGGCTGGCTTAATGTCTAGACCCAAACTTACACGCCGAACCCTACACCGACAAGCCTTAAACAGTAAGCCATAAAAGACAAGATGCAACTTGCCAGGCGTGCGCTTCTAGTTGTGCAAACTTGTGACAAGGCGGCAGCTGCGGTTTGCTTGCACCAAACCTTCAACGCTCCAGTTACTCAAATCGCAGGTTCCGTATATTATTTAAGCAGTTAGAGCCCTGAAGAAAGCTGCATTGTCCCTTGTCTTCAGCAACACCACCCAAGAAGTTGAATCGGTCGAAGCACTGAAAGCTCCTAAATCCTGAGCCGTAAACCCTAAATCCCAAACCACAACCCCGCCAGCCTAAGCTACAAGCACTAGACTTAGACCCAGACCTATCCGAAAGGACCAAACTTCACGCTTTGAAGATGTGGCTGTGACACAGCCCTGGCGCGTAGCACTAGCATGGTTACAGCTCCAGAAACGTCGCCGACCCTTAATTAAGGAAGTGGCTTAGGGCTTGGGGCTTAGGGAATTGAACTTAGGATTTCAGGTTTAGGGTTCAGCCTACATGTCATCAAACATTAAAAAAATTACATTCAGCACCTTGTACAACATGTTAGGGTATTTATCCTAAACCAACCCGCAAACCAGAATATTAAGCCCGCTACATTGTTTAAGGACGCACTGTAAAATTATGTTGTTAGGACCTCAACTCCTGACCTAAACTCCTGAACCGAAAGCCCTTAGTTTAGGGTTTACAGTAAGGATTAAGGTATAGGACTTTGGATTTGGGGTAGGCTTCTTCCTTCCCATCCGAGCCCTTTCTGGGTTGTGACGGTGCAACTACCCGAACAAGAAAGCTTATGAAGGATAGAAATCTCGAAAAAGGCATCAATGAAATTAAGAATCAACTATCCAAAATCAGCACCAAGCTTTCTGGCCAAAGTGTAGACTCTAGACAAGCAGCTGCATGGCTTTCCAGAACTCGTCGATGAATTGCTGCTGCCTCTGAGCCCCCAAGGCGTTCCGCAGCACGGCATAGCCGTGGACCTTCCGAGGCGTTTACATATTAAAAGACTTTGCCAGGATCCTTATACGATGGTATAAGCTTCCACGTGGGGTCTATAGACCTCTTGGTCGAGGAACATATATACATATGTATATATATATATACTTAATTAACACAAACTCCATCCCCTGACAACTCAAGGCATTTTCCTTACTTGGGGGTATTGGGCTTCCCAACTACAAGAACAGCATGGGAAGCTTCACCGGATCAGAACCATGGCAGAGGCAGTATCATAATCAACACAGTGATGATGACCCGAAAGGCCACAAGGAAAGAAATTCTGGGGTTAACAGAGAATTGTCCTGTACTTTCCAGATCTGGACTCATGCCAGGGCTCAGGGGTTTAGGGCTGAAGATTTAGGGGGCGCAGATCTCGCCGACAGCTGGCCCTCCTGTGACACGATGCACTAGCTTCCAACATCCATAATCCCTAGGGCACCCGGTACTAAATAATAGGATACTGGGAGTTTAAGGGTTTGTGGCTTAGCGGTTCAGGGTTTTAGGGGTTTGGGGGCTTAGAGGTTCAGGGTTTAGGGTTTGGGATATCGTCAGTAGCCGTGCTTTAAGTATCTGGAGCCAAGGGACTGTCAGGGACACGCTTAAGCCCGAAGGGCAGTGGCAGAAGGCCCAAATCCCAGGCCCAAACCCAGATCCCAACACCGTGATACAACCCTCAATTCCAACCGAGCCCAGTACCCTTCAGAGAAATACATTCAAAAGTCGCAATAAGATCCCTTCATTCAGGGGTTTGGAGTTCTGGCAAACCACTCGCAAAAAACCCTGCATTGCTCGAATCATTTGAGCTTCGAACCCTGATAACCTACACTCTAAACCCTAAACCCTAAATCTGGCCCCAGGTCCAAAACGCTGAAATGGCCCCTAAAGCCCAAGCCGTGACCCCTAACACCTAACGCTGAAACACCACATACCCAACATGCTAGCCGAAACCACTGGGCCCTTATCAGGTTTCAATTCAAGAGGCAGGGAAAGGGCAGTATAAGACGGTATATAGGATATATGTGATCTCGGATTCTCCGGAAGGTTCCCGCAAAGACTCCTAGTGCCCTCCCTCCCTCTTCAAACCCTCAACTCTAGTCCCTAAACACCAATACTCCCAAAACCGACTTGACCCCAAAACATTCCACTAACAAATTTCACCGACCTGGAAGTGTTTGACGAAAGCCTCCACGGAAGGGGCCCCAGCGAGTTCCAAACGCTGGTATCATTTTTGGAAGGCGTTATGGCTGCTAAGGAGGTTTTGAGGGGTTTACAGGTTTTAAATGAGGCTCAGAGGACTTAGTAAGTAAGCTTTTCACGAACTTCGAACCAGGATATGCCCAATGAAGCTACCTTTACGTGAAAGCCCATTCGGGCTTTCAGGCTTTGGCTTTGAATGAGGGATTAGGCTTCGGGTTTAGGGTTTAGGTTTTTCGCCTTGAGGGTTTATTGGTTTTCTGGGGCTGTACTGCTTCTTGAGGGTGTTAGGGTTGAGGGCTTCTAGGGTGGAAGTGTTTACTCCGAGAGTCAAATGATATGCACTGGAACAGAAATCTGAGGAAGGCTCGAGGCAAGCAACAACGGCAACAAAAGCAATGCTAGTTCATTAGTGCAAGCGCCACTAGCACGTCACTGCCGAACTAGCAGAGCCAAACAAAACTATCGGCAATGATGATAACCTGGAAAAGTCAAGAACGGCTACAGTAGTTAAGACCAAAAGGGGCTGGCACCCTCATGCACGAAATGCAACCACCCTACTCAACCCGAGGCCCACAAAGCTCTAAACCCTCTAAGTGCTTAATCCTGAAATCCCTCAAAACCCCCTCCATAAACCCTAAACCCTACACCCTGCACCCTTTTACTCTAAACGCTGGAAACCACTCTCCAAACCTACACCCCCAAGCCGGGGACCCAACAAGAAAAACCCTAAACCCTATACACTAAACCCGATACCCTAAACCCTAAAGGCCCTAACCCGAAAAGGGCTCTGAGGAAGAATATTGGCCGGCAGAGCTCCAGGCAAAGTGCTGGCGGAAGCGGCGGCGGGTCGAGTCCGGCCTGTCTCATCCCGAGAGCGCATTCGAAGATCAGTGTGCGGGTGATGGACGGGTCGCGACCGCGATCTGCCCCAGCCATGGACCGCAAGGATCATGGCGTTGTTGGTGGAAACTCCAGGCGCCATTGCTGGCTGCCTGCAGGAGTTCGTGCAATGCTTGTGTGGGCGCGAGCCCATCCGGCCCATCCCCTTGGCCGGGGCGGCGAGCGAGGAATCGTCACAGGAGTGGGATCGGATGCCACTCCATGCAGGAGGGTGGCGGCCGCGAAAGATGTCCATAGGCCAAGCCGATGAGTGGACCGGCTTCGGATGGCTTTGACATAAACCGCTATTTGGTTTCCAACAACTCTCATCCTCGGTCCCCCAATACCCCCTGAATCACAAGGGCGCCGTGGTCCCTGATATTCGCTTTTTTAAAAAGCTGACCCCCCAAACAAGAAGAGCAAAAGGGCGCTACTGGGAGACCTAACGTACTTGTCCAGTATCACAGCCCTAAGGGTCCATGTACCCAAATAGTATATACTAAGGTACTCCCAATATAAGTGCATTGGGGCCAAAGTATATACTATTTGGGTACATGAACCCTTGGGGAGGGGAGCTAAAGGTAAACCCTTGGGATTTACATAGGGGTTGTGTACCCCTAAAAAGGTTAACTTACTTCCACAATCGGCCAGGAAAACAAAAGGTTGAAATTTCAGGTTAATGCTAAATTATAAGAACCCCAAAAGCTTAAAGGTTTAAGAACCCAAAAGCTTAAAGGTTGGGTATTGGAGAACCAAATTAAACATTAGTCAGAGAACGCCAGTTAGACGGCAGATCAGCGCCTCGCCGGGTCATTCTTAGGCAACCCAGAAATAAAGCCCAACAGCACCAAGTAATCCTAGTAATAATCTAAAAGAATAGGTTTAGCGTTACGAGGTTTAGGGGTTTAGGGTTTAGCGGTTTAGGTTTTAAGGGTTTAGGGCTTTAGGCTTTATGGGCCAGTGCCGCTTTGTTTATGTAGGGTTTGTGGTTTAGGGTTCTTTTTCGGGGTTCTATAGGGTCTAGGGTTTAGAGTCTAAGTTTAGAGGGCTTGGGGATATCGAGGTTGTGCTTACGAGGGGTTTTGGGTTTAGGGGTTTAGGGTTCTATAGGCTTTGGGGCTTAGAGTTCAGGGTCTCAGCGCAGCAGAGCTTGCACCTATGACTGCACTCCAAGAAAGCCAAACCCCCAGCCAGAGAGCTAAACCCTAAACCCTGATTAACTCCTCGACTACTAAACCCTAGACCTTTAACACTGAACCCTAAACTCTGAAACCCGAAACCTTTAAACCCCGATCACGAAGCCTCGTCAACGTGGGCGAAAACGTGATCGTAGGAGATCGTGTCCGCTGGCCTGGCATACCTGAGATCTTCAAGCCAAGGCTTTAGGCTTTCGGGTTTAGGGTTGAGGCCTTCGTTATAAGGTTAAGGTTTAGATTAGTTATGAGATCCTTACGGGAGGAGGGTTCAGGGTATAGGCCCAATAGTCCCCTCTTCTCCCGAATGCTCCCCAAGGTACCCTCAACGGTCCCTCGAGGATAGCCCACCCCCTCCCCCCCTTGCGGATCCTGTAGTAAGTGAAGAGCTCCACGAATCTAGAACAGCCTGAATCACAGACTTGCGCACGCTTTTGACCAACATATTGCTTTTTAATATTTAAACAACCCCTTGGAGCTTTGTTATAATGAAGATAAAGTGAAAAACCTAACAACGCTAGAAGTATAAACGCCTAAACTAATCTAACAACACTCACAGCATAAACTCCTAAAGCTCTACAACTTGAAACCTAAATCCCGAAATCTCGAAAGCCCTGATGCCCCAGACGACGACCCCAAACAAGAGGTCATGTGGTTACGGTAAAGCAAACTCAATCGGGACCCCGAAAAAATACAATTTGTTTGCGAAAGTCTGTCTATTGGTAATCTGTGAGAAGAATCATAACAGCTAAGCACGTACTCACTCCTAAACCCTATAAACCCTGAACCCTCAGATAGCTGTCTGTGATAACAGAGAATATGGAAGTTGCATTAATCTGTCAGAAGTACTACTGCCGCGATACCAAATCCCAAGACTAGATGCACCGAAGGGTCTAATCAAGCCCAATGAACACTTAACTCGAGCTTGCAGACGCTTAGAGTCCCCAACCCCGTAAATCCGACACAAATCGCAGGGAGGGTTTAGGGTTTAGGGCAACTGACTGCTCAAGCTCCGAACAGCTCGACTCAGCGATGGCTACAGTAAAAGATTAACCCTATGCAATGCCGAGACCTACAACCCTAAACCCAAACTCTAAACCCCAAAATCCAGCAACCTCAACCCGAAAATGCCCTAAAACCTTATGGAATCCTGAAAGGGACGTTGCAGGAACTCTTAAAGGAGCCCTTCGGCTTGGAAGAGGCCAAGTAACAGTCGTCTTAAGTCGAAGAGGAGGTCTTTTCGGTTGCCACCGCGCTCAAAAAACTCCTGTCTTGGCTTTAGGGTTTTAAGGGTTTAGGCATTTAGCCGATTAGAGTTTAAGGTGTTGAAAATTATTTGCGGTGTAGGGTCGAAGGGCTCCTTTAAGGGTTCGTCTTAGGGTGTTAAGGCTTCCTGCAGGGTCTTCCATACGGGGTCGGGTCTTAGATGCTAATTCCGAGATTCCGTGCCGTTTCATAAGTGACAGTCGTTGCATTCTGGGTGTAGGGGTGTAGGTGTAGGTCAGGTTTAGGGATGGGAGAGAGTTTCTGAAACATGAGGGAGTTTCCGGAAGCTCCCACGAGAGTCTTCCCTCGAGGCCTACAGAAGACATGGGGGGACGTGATGAAACGAACGCCTTCTCATAGGGACGGGTAGGGGACTCTGCTTCCTGAAATAAGTCTTATTAGGTCCTTATTATGGGCATTAAAGCCCCCTATCCCCCGGCCTTTTTACCCCCCTGAGGGTCCCTATGACCTTTGCTTGTCCTTTGTGAAAGAGTGGAGCTGGCTGTCGTCACGACCGACTCCCCCTAGAAGCATGATCATGGCTGCAGCGACTTCGGCGAGGTTTCTCCGACACATAATAGAGGGGCCTTCATAATTAGAGTAGGGTTTTGGGGTATTTTTTTTCGTGAGGCCATGTGTCCGGATACGAACGCGCCTAGTTTTGGGGTATAGTATACTATAAACATAATAATACTCCCCCAAAATAGTATAGGTAATTATTAAGGCCCCCATATTAGGCCGTAGGAGCGACCGCGGGAGCGCCACGACGATGATAGCACTAAAGAGCAACTGCACCCGGCCAGGAGTCAGACGTATAGGACAATAAATGCTCATAGTAAACTATACCCCCCTTATAACCAAAATAAAAATGCAAGGGTTTAGTATTCTCTGGGGTTTTGTTTGAACAAAAATGTACAAACACTTCCGAAGGAGACTATAGTAAAGAGAAAACAAATCGTAGTCATACGGTTGATGATATAAACCCTGCATTACCATAATATGGCATATAATTAATTACAATTCTTCCCAGAGTTTAGGGTCCTTAAGGCTTGAGGTAATGCAGGGTTTATATCATCAACCGTATTGATGGGAATAGGTATGATACGGTATGAAGATAAGTAGCAACAACTATCATGATGGTCATCATGATCATGGCCATCATCATCACCGTCACCATACACACAAACATAATACTAAACGACAGAAAATATTAATCCCATTTTTAATACCAATAGCAACCATGTTATTAACAGTAAGAACAAAATATCAACATCGGAAATACATATGTAAAAGCAAAATGAATGATACGAATCCTCATCGTAACTGGGGTCATCATGATCACACAGATAATACTAAGAGTAATCATGAAATCGACGATACAGCTCACTCTTTGAAGAAATTGCTGGCACAGAGTCGGGTTGACGCATCCCTTAGCCTGCAAAACTAATTAGAAACGGGTGAAACATTCAGCGGGATGCGCACTCGTGCCTCGCCACAGCCATACTCTGTTCCCCAGCCTGTGTGAGCGGACTCCCGGGAAGGGCGGAGAGATTATGAGTGAGGCTGTGCGCGACTGGGTCAGATTCCAGTACGGCAGGTAAGCCACGCAGCTACATGCGGAGGACAAGGCGCACCAGGTCGCAGGCGAATCGACAACAAAGCAAACCCTGTTCAAACTCTCGAGGAGAGTGAATCCAAATGGGCTGCAGGTCACAGTCAAGACCGCACAACGACACACAGGCGCCACATCCTTCCGGAACTTCCTCAAGGAAGTCAAGGGTGCCCCCATTCGCAAGGCTGCGGAGGGATTCGGGGTGAGAGTACACCAGGTGTCGAGACTCCTCAACGCCAGCCGACCAACACTTCGCAGGATCGCCAATGCGGAGGGTCACACGTGTGTTCGACAGCATCAAGGCACAGACCAGAAACGTCCAACAAGTCAAGGACTGTGTAGCTGTGGGCAAAGGTGTTGACGGCAACCTCATGGTTGCTCGGCTCCGGGACAAGCCATCGAGCAACAACAGCATGGACAATCCAGTCCGCAGCGCTACACAAGGTTCCATGGGCTAAGCCAGGGGGTTCTGCCATGCTTCCGTCAGCAATCGCATCCCTCCACACAGCAGCAGTGAGCCGAATCCGCCGTACCGGCAAACAGACACACGAAAAGGCAAGCCGGATTCTCTGCCAAAGAACTTCGACAGTGAGGGCGCATGACTCAGTGTCGTAATCCAGTAGACTCAAGCATTCCCAGACTTCGGCGGACGGACGGTTCATTTCATCCTCGATGTTGAAAGCTTGATCAACTGGCTTTGGTCCTGCCGCCTGCATGGGAGGGGCACAAACAAGTCCCCCATCAACCGCTCGACGTTTCCCCTGTCCGGGTTCTGGGGGAACCCATCCAGATTGAGCAGGTAGCGGTGCCCTACACTTCCAAGCATGCCTAAGGTGCCTGCATAACTGGACAGGAGTGGGATAATGCTTGAGACATGTGGGGCATTGGGAGCCTTGTGCGAGCCTCCGAACCTCCTCGACTCCCCCATGCACTTTAAAGGCATGGACAGCCCACGCTCGGAAATCCTTAAAGTGCAGCCGGCACAGGACACAGGCTTCGCAGTCGACATCCTCCTCGAGAACATCATGCGGGACCCTGGCACCTGCACACCGGAGTTGCCGGAGCAGAAGACCAGCATGTTGCTGCAGAGAAGACTCCCACCGCGAGCGTCGCAGGGCACATTGTTGGGCTCTGCGAACCCGGGACTTCCATCTCCCAGGATTGTGACGCGCCTCGACAACCCATTCCTTCCAGGAATCGAGATGGTCCGGCTTACGTTCGGCAGGTTTGGTCAACTCCCATAACCAGCGCACAGACTCCTCAAGGAGTGCCTTCCCAGTGTGCAAGGGCCCACATCTCCGGGATCGCAAGCTTGACAAACGACAACGCATACCTCAACCTGGCAACGTGGATGCAAGTGGCGACATCCGGAAGGCCGGCCCTAACAAGAACCTGAGACGCTCCTATCCGCCAGGCCTCTTCACAAGTGAGCTGCGGTCGCATCATCTGGCAGGCCATCTGTCGTAGTGTGTTCGCAAGGGTGGCCTCGTGAGCACACGTGACGGCGGGCCACGTTCCCGCCCCGTAGAACAGAACTGTGGCGACTAAAGAATCAAACAGCAAGCGTTTGTCCTCAATCGGCACAAGCGGAGATCCAAAGAGTTTCTTCTTCCGCCTGTTGAAAGCGTCCCATGCTTGAGCAACTCGGAAGCGGATTTCTCTTTTCAGCCCCCCGTCGTGCTGTATGATTCCTCCCAAGTGTCGGTACGTCGGAACGAGCTGTAGCCGAGCACTCGGATGCAAACGGCACTGAAGCGGGAGCTGGCCATTCAACTCACCAAACAAGCGGCGTCCGACCTGGCGCGATCCTGCGGAATGCACTGACAACACCGCCTCAGTCTTGCCCTTGGCTAGGTTCGGAACAAACGCTCGCTCCAGGCACGCGTCTATGAGACGAGAGGTCCCAACCGTCAGCATGGTGACGAGCGTATCCGCTGTACTGGCCTTCAACATGAGCGCTAGATCGTCCATCCATGTAGAGTCGGACAACCCGATGGCTTCCGTCACAGTGGCCTCCGGTGCCTTGAGGCTGTCGAGCATGTCGGGATGCCAAGGAATTTCGGCAAGATAGCCCGCCTCAGTCAAATCCTTGCGAAGTTGTGCGAGCACCCTCGCAAAAAGGAATGAAAACAGAAAGGGAGTCTCCGGGGGCAGGAGCCCGTGCGGGTTGCAACAATCTCAGGTTGGTTCGGCAGCCGGAACCACGTGTCGCGGAGTGTCTCAGAAATCGCCCCGCTAGCCCATTGACTGACGCCGGCCTCTCGCAAGACTGGCGGCTGGCAAAGATGACGGTGAAGTTCATGCATAGTCTCCGGGGGGAGACTGACAGCGGCACACACGCCCTTGTGTTGGATGGGCTCTGTAAGGCGAAAGACCGATTTCAAGAGGAGCTGGTAAAGAGGGAGGCCTAAAGAGGCCGCCCCGTACTCAGCAACCTCACCCGGAATCCCGTCTAAACCATAAGCGCGGTCAGCACTGGCTCCGCGCAGCGCAGCTTCAAGCTCTACAAGGGTTGGAGTATCCTGCACGGACACCGCATATCCCGCAAGGTCAATCGCGCTCTGTCTCTCGTAGCATTGGGAGGGGGAATCAATTGGACACAGAAGTTCCATGGGTTTTAAATAAAAGGTGAAGTGAAGGTAGATGTAAGGTAATGATAAGGTGATCTGCAAAGGTAGAATATCGGTAGCATAAAGGTGGGATAAAGGTGACGGCGTCAAAGCATAACCCTAAAACCTCTAGACGTTGAAACCCAGGCAACCCAGGCAAGCTCTAATGAGGCATTAACTGCCAATGGGTTTCAATTAACATGTAGAATAAAGGTAAATCGAAGGTGATGTGAAAGGTAATGTGGAAAGGTGCATGAACGGTGGATAAAAGGCGGCCATCTCCTACCAGGAGACGGCCACTTTCGCATAATTTGTAGAAGTAGGAATGCGTATATAAAGTTTAATATAAGGTTACTGATGAATATCTGTTTAATTGTTAGTATGTACCTATAGCGTGACATGCATGCATGCATACACACGTACACACATGCATACATCCATGTTTTGCATGCATCCACGCACACACACACACACACACTGCGCCAGGTAGATTGGTCATTCCACGAATCTTTAGTCATAGTCCGAAAGGGAACGGTGCTGTGGCGGGAGCACTACTTCACTACTTTTCGAGCCGCCCAGCCACCGGATCCGCTAAGGAAGGTTCGCCTTCAGTTTGCCTTCTCCGCTCCACCGTGTCCATTTCCAGCATCGCCTTACTTTCACCTTTTCAGACCATCACAGGATCACCTTTTGGAGAGGCCAGATGCACCTTGAAACCACCTTTTGCCGGATCGCGATTGGGGCGACGGGAAAGGTGAATCCAAGGTGATTCTAAGGTGG